TTCCTTGGAATAACAAACCTCTTTTCCTTTCACGAAGGATCGCTAATGCCAAAAAAAAAACAAATTCCACGAGCGTCCTGCAGAAAATTCTAAAAATTCTCCCCACAGTTTTTTTCCACCTACAAACTTTTAATCAATTCCACAAACTTCCAGAAGCTTGAAAAGGCTCGCAGCAATGAAAAATTCCCAATTCTAGATGCAGAAGCAACAGATTTCAAATTTCCCCTTTTCTCGTCAGTTATTCCAGCGAACGAAGCTCGATAATCCGCGTGTAATCGGCGCCGCCTGCAGTTAGCCTCTTTTTACTCAGTACGTCGTCGATAGGCGTTTTATTTTCGCGATAAAAAACCAAGTGCTGCGTCCTCGACCGATGGAAATAGCCGCCGCGGTTCGAAAAAAAACGAAACACTCGCAGCTTTAGTCGTCGACGAACTCCGAAGGAAAAACTCACATTTGCAAGATCTAGATTGTCTTGGACGTCGTTTGCAGTAACGCGCATAAATCTGTGAATAATTAAAAAAAAAAAAAATTGAACTTTTTAAAAATCTCGTGTCCCAAAATTTGCAAACTTTTCGCTGTTAAATTAAACGTTTAAATACCTATCGTTCGGAAGATTCCTGCAATCTGCACGAGTTACGCAATTCTGTTCGACCATTCGACGTTCTAGAGTTTGCAAAAGTAATACACAGATCGGTTTTAGCACGAAAACCAGGAGATAAACCGCACATTTCGCTCGGGAGTGTCTGAACGTTCATTGAAATTACCTTGAAGCAAGCAATTGTTGACTGAACGAGGCTCTAAACTGCGAAATCTCAAACCAAGGACTAGGCTTAGAGAAGCTAAAATAAATATTCGAGATTCTAAGGGATATCCAAGGATCAGATTTAATTTCCTCCCACAGAGAAAATGAAGATCGCTCGAAAAATCGTCTTGTAACTTTGTCAATCTTTTGGTTTTACGAATCTAAAGTATCAAATTTTTCAGTTTAATTTAATTTTACTAAAAAATAAACACGGTATGTAATTCGTTTGATTGCAATCGTTAAATACAATGGTTTTCTGAGACAAAAGGAGATTATTGTCAGCCTACGCAAGTTATTTTACGAAGAAGATTAAAGCTTGATACTTTGTAGACACTTTTTGATCCTCCGTTGTGCTTCTTATGGTTAATCCTGTTGCTTCCAGCGTCAGATGCTAGTGTATTGTTAGAAATACCACGGGAGGAACTGGAGGATAGAAGGTTTTATTGAAAAATTTCTTGTCGCCATATTTTCCGAGATATTGCATTTTTATTGTAAATGAAATTTTCATGCTGTAGCTACAAATTTTCTGTGGTTAACAGGATTTACAGGGTTAAAAGGGTTAGTTGACACTACAATTAAAAATGTAAAAATGACCCATTAGCAAATTTTCCAAACAAAAAATTCGTTTTTCATAAAATATTGTAAAGTAATATGACGATTCACCGGTGGGTCATGTATGCAAATAGTCGGCATTCGATGACCCACCAGTGGGTCACACCGTCTATTCGATCCTTTTTGTCATCCATGATGAAATGACCCACCGATGGGTGACACCGTCTATTCGATCTCTTTTGTCATCCATGATGAAATGACCCACCGATGGTCACATTGAATCTTTTCAGTCATCTATGTTGAAATGACCCACCGATGGGTCACACCGTCTATTCAGTCTCTTTCGTCATCCATGATGGAATGACCCACCGATGGTCACATAGAATCTTTTCAGTCATCTATGTTGAAATGACCCACCGATGGGTCACACCGTCTATTCGATCTCTTTTGTCATCCATGATGAAATGACCCACCGATGGGTGACACCGTCTATTCGATCTCTTTTGTCATCCATAATGAAATGACCCACCAGTGGGTCACGCTGTCTGTTCATCCATGCTGAAATAACCCACCGATGGGTCACACCGTCTATTCAGTCTCTTTCGTCATCCATGATGGAATGACCCACCGATGGGTCACACCGTCTATTCGATCTCTTTTGTCATACACGATGAAATGACCCACCGATGGGTCACACCGTATATTCGATCCTTTTTGTCATCCATAATGAAATGACCCACCAGTGGGTCACGCTGTCTGTTCATCCATGTTGAAATTCGCAATCTTGAAAAACTGCTAATTTCACCTTCACTATTCTCACCTAAAACATCCTACAGAAACGTACAATTAAAATTACAGCTGTTCGATCCAAACCGGAATAAGCTTCTGCGATGGCTCTACTGGAAGGACTCAGAGTCGACCCTATTGGGCATCCCAACGAAGAAGGACATCGGTAGCCATCTTTTGAGCGTGAAAGTGATGGGAAAGCACGACGACACAGCGAAGGACCTTTTCGTTGTCCAAGTGGTCCCGGAGAAGCACGAGGAATTGAAGCACAAGGACGGAAAGGTAAGGTGCTTGCTTGCTTTCGTCTGGCCAGAAGCTCTCTTCGAGCATCGTTGCCAGGCTTATCGTTAACGACGGAAGCCGTTTCGTTGGCAACGATTCAAGCGGATCCTGGACGGACAACAGGTACTCCCTTGGCTTGCCTCCGCGAGGATTAATCGCAGGATTTGTAACCTGTCGACTGAAGTTCCCTGCTTCTTTCATTGATTCCCGTGAATACACTTCCTTTGCCACGAAAATCCTTTTTAAAGGGCCGCATTGATAACCCTTTGACTGCTGCTTACTCGAACGTGAAATGATGCAGCACTGATAGTCACTGTTCAAGGAACTTGTTTGGGATTTAAATTGGTACTGTACAAGGTGTTGTTCAGAAGTTTGACGAGTTCTATCGTCGATACGGTTTGAAATCTCCAACTTTTACAGCTGTAAAATACAATTCCGTCTGTTTTTTTTTTTAATAGATTACCCTAGTTTTTAATGCACGAATCGATGCAGTTTTTAATTCTTTACAAGAGAAGGTTGGAGTACTTTTGCCAGAAATTATTAATTTCGGGGATTTTTAAATTTAGATTCTGATCTCAGTCAAAGGGTTAAATGAACGCGTTTAAAAGGGACGAAGAAAGCAAGGAACTTAATTTTAATACACTTGAGAATAAAAATGAAAATAGACATTGCGTCGAGATAGAAAAGAAGGAAAATGAAAAATAGACAATAGAGATAAAAGAAAAAGGAAGTAAAAAAATAGACATCGTACTAAGATATAAAAAAAATATTCTTCACTATAAGAGGTATTTTTTAAATTGGAATTTATTAGCGTAATTAAAATTTCATAGGAAGCACTTGTTTGAAAAGCGCATAGAAATATTGAGATTCGTCGTCTAACGCGAAATCGCAGCTGGGAAAAAATTAACAAAACACATTGGCGGAGTGAACAGAGGAATCATCGATCACGATGACTGATCATTGAGTCACGTTCATCCGAGTCGCTAAACTCGGCCAGGCCAACCGAAGCTGTTAATGAAGCGGCAAATCAATTAGCCCCGTTAATCGGTTTCGTCGCTTGATCGGGCAACAAGCATACCGGGGTTTGACTTTTGCGACACGCCGCGTCGATCATTTTAATCGGATCCCGGCGATTTTCGGAAGCTCGATAATTAATTGGCCCCGAATGCCGCGCGCGCTCTCGTTAAATCGCCCGACCAAATTATCTCGTTTATCTTGCGCCAGCTCGAATGAAATCGGTCACGTCCGACGATCGAACGGAACCGGCACCATTTTTGAGCCGTTTAACTCCGATTAATTAAACGTCCAAACTCGATTTTACCCGTGGACGCGCGCGATTTCGCCGCGCGCGCGGTGATAACAAACCGGGGGAATTTCATCAACCACCGTTCAATGCCATTTGGATTTTGCGAACTTTGGGAGAAATTTTTATCGCTCGTCGACGCGGTGAAAATCTTTGCTCGTTGCAGAGATTAATGGTAATTTTTCAATCTTTCTTATCTGATTTATTATTTGTTACGAAACAATTGTTGCGTAACTATTTATTATGAATTAACTAAAAATAGGATAAAATTCCCCCTACTTTTTGAATCTTTCTTCATTTCTGTGAGATATATACTTGTACACTAATTTCTTTCTCTGCTATAAAATTAAGAAGAGAGGATCCTTCAACCCTTCAAAAAGTTGCACGTAAAAATTTCCAAACTCTACCTTCTCTATCCTAAAAGAAAAAAAAGAAGAAATCGTTTAACCCTGCAAAAAATTGCATATAAAAATTTGCACACTCTACCTTTTCTATCATAAAAAATTTAAAAAGAAAATTGTTCGACCCTGGAAAAAATTGCATATAAAAATTGGCACACTCTATCCTTTCTACCCTAAAATTAAAGAAGAAAATTGTTCAACCTTTTAAAGAATTGCATATAAAAATTTGCACACTCTATCCTTTCTACCCTACCACAGAATTACAAGTATAACACGTAGAAGCTTAAAATTACGAAGAAAATGATGAAGAATTTACCAAACGAAAGCAAAGGAGGATAAGTATGAGGAAGATCGATTAAGGAACAAGACGATTTATCTGGCCCGCGTGTATCGTGGGAGAAGAAGGCGTAGCCGCGTGCCTCGCGATTGCATCGGTATGCCGCGTTTAAATCTCGTCTGAGAAATTAGTCTGGTAGACGCTGTTGATTGATGCCAATTGATGGTGGACCGCGTGTCGTGCGTCACCAGTCCTGCGGTGTTGTTCGTACGATCGTCGGGATCGGCCTTAATTCCTCGCGTTTCACACACTGACACCGTTCGACTCGCGATCCTCGCTACTGGCCAGCCAACTGAAATAGGACGTCTCTGATTTTAGACACACTGCAGCAAAGGGGAAGAACAAACGCTGCTGACGATACTGCTGAGCACGAGGTTCGACAACCTCATGCCTTGCACAAGGGTCAACGCCATTGAGAACCTGGCTTCATTTCTGGGACTTCACGTGGTACTGTATCAATTGCACGATTTTTTATTTTAAGTAGATCGTTGTGTCGAGGATGGTAGATGGAGGAGTGCAGAAAATTTGAGGTATAGTCGCTGGAAGAAATGTAATAGGGTGGTTAAATCGTGAAAGTATAGTCGGTGCAAGAAACATAATAAGATGGTAAAATCGTCAAAGTATAGTCAATGAAAGAAATATAATAAGATGGTAACTTCGCCAAAGTATTACCAGTGGAAAAAATCTAGTGAGATTGTAAAATTGGCCAGGTATCAATGTACAGTCGGTGGAAGAAATGTAAGATCGTAAAATTGTCAAACTGTAGTCGATGGAAGAAATATAGTAAAGTCGTAAAATTGGCTAGGCCTCAAGGTATAGTCGATGGAAGAAATATACATATTCGAGCACGTCGTTTAAATTGACAAAAAAAAAAGGAAGCTGAGAAATTAAGGGCTTGAAACCAAAGTGAAATACACCTTAGCTTCGATTCAAACCCAATAGAAAAAGTTAAAACGCCCACCCTAGGTGTCGCTGTATCAATGGGCGGAGCTTCAACGTAAGACCTCGCTATATTTCTTCCACCGACTGTACTCTCACTGAGATACCGATCTACTAAATCCACTCTCACCGTATATTGATTATAAACTATTACAAAACTTTCCCAATTACCCCATGAATTTTCCAACGAATTTTCTTCGTTAGCGAACTCCAACCGCAGATAAAAGCGATAATAAATACTTAACAGTTCGTTCCTTGACCCATAAATTAACCAAAGAAGAGCAAACTTACGATCGCTACGCGCGCTAAAGCACACAGTCCATGAAATTTGCAAAAACCAAAGCTAGACAGCACGGTAGAACTTTTTACAACCGATCCCGGAAACTACCACCATAGCCATAAAAAAATCACCGTAAAACTCGAAACCCGGGGCTCTTTTTACACGCAATATCAATTGTTTTCGTATCGCGAATCCTTAATTTCCCGGCGGTTTGGTCAACAACTTGGCAAAAACCGCGGGGAGAATTTAATTGGAGGAAATGTGGAAGAATCGCCCGGCTCGGGACCCGGAGGTGTCCCAATTTTCCGCGTGCGGGAGTATAACGCCATCTCCGCGAAGAATATTTGATAAAGTTTGCTGTGGGCTTCTTTATGAGCGGAAACTTTACGACGTTAGGGTGGCCGCCGGCGTGGAATAGAAGATGCATCGCGGTCTCGACATAATACAGAAAATGTTCAAGTTTTAAAGTATCCCTGGCTCCTCAGCTTCCGGCGAGCATAAATTGGACGCCTTTGAGGGCGTCGCGTTTTTCTTCCCTTCTCTTTTTTATTTTTCTTTTGCACCGGCGGAATTCTTAATTAATTTAATCGTCGCGAAGAAGAAAACACCGCGCGTTACTCTTTATACACACGATTCTTCTTCTTCTTTTTCGTTGTGGCGATAGTTTAGACGAGTCAGAATCTCATCTTCCTTATTTTCCTCGCTGCACGCTGTCCATAGTATATTTCAACGGTGACACTGTCCAATTTTTTCTTCTACCTATTGCCTGATACTGCTTGGACGAATGAAGTTTGCAGTTTTTATGGCGGCGCGTTGAGAAACACGGGCTTGCACGGAGTATGAAGAATGCAAAGTGTATTTCCCCGAGAAAATAGGGAAGAATTGTGGAGATTTAATTATATCCTCGTGTTACCTGAATTTTCACAGTTTTTACTACTATGTGCGCATTTTCGCGGGGAAATTTCCCGACGTTTCTCTTTTATCTCGATAAATTTCCACGCACAGTGGAACGTGTTCCGGAGAAGAGAAAAAAGCGTCGGCCGCGAGGATCGACTTTTTAGGTCGCAGTTACCAAGGGGAGGAATATCTCGGAAATATCGCGGGGGAATCTCGAAACGAGACGAAGCAGGGGAAATTGCATCGTCGAAAGGAATTCATTTCGTAGGGAATAATCGATACGGTTACGTAAATTTAATCTGCCGCCCATTCACGATGATTTAATTACCTCGCGCTGAACTTTTTTCACCCCACCTTCCCCTTTACTGCCACTTGAAAATCTATTTTCCCCGTGATTAGACCGGTCTCCGGCGTAATTGAAATCGAGGAGAACAGGCATTTTCTGTATCCACCAGCGTTTCCCCCTTTGCAATACACATCCTCTCCTCCTCAGTTTTCCTCTGCCAGAGATAGGGTTGCGCGATTCATTCCAGCTTGTTTGAATTTCAGAGCGCGTTCTCGATACACCCGCAAAGCGCCAAGGAGAACCTGAACGCCGATTCCTCCGTGTTGCTCAGCGGGCCAGGAAACGTGAAACATCGTAAGGATAAGAAACATCTGACGGCGATTCAGTGGCAGGTAAAATTTTCTCTCGCCGATTCTCCTTCCCGTAAAATTCCAAGTAATTCCAATTTAAAAGAAAAAACGTGAATTTTGGATTAAACGTTGGATTATGATGGGAAAAAAAGGTCGGCTGCGACGGTCACTTATGGCGACACCAGACTGATTTGGTGAAACACCTGCGAGAGCAAGCTAAGGACGGCACTCTGGCGGAAGTGATGCAGCTTCCGGTTCTTCTATGGCGCGTGACGACGGAGTCGAGCTTGTTAGTCCGGAATAGAAGAGAGGTCGGTTCCGGAGACTATGGTAACCCGGACGATTACGGTGGTTACGATGAGTACGACGACGAGTACGAGGATGGAGAGGAATACGGCGAGGATGGCGATGACTCGACAGCCCAGCCAACTATTATACCGGAAACGAACTCTGCTAGAGGGAACGCGGGAGTGGAACAACATCCTCACAGGCATCATCACGGCGAAGGACAGATCGATTGGAACGTATGTTGTTCGTTAAATATTCCTGTAACAATAGATGTTTAGTTTGTGTAGAAAATTTTTAACACGATTTACATTTTCCTTAGACCGAGGAGAGCGGCAGCGTTATTCCAGATGTGAATCAAGCGAACGTATTGGAGAGTGGAACGAATAAAACCAGTACAGATGCCACGACCATCGTAAGTATCGATGATAAAATCGAGCTCTTTTCTGAAAGAAAGGAAAAGATAAGAAAAGAAAGGAAAAGCAAGAGAAAAATATTATACGCTATATATATAACCGGCTTTCGTTGAAAATTCTTATGTCTCTGTCCTTCATTCGCCATGCCAATCGCTTAAGGGAGTCGTTGCGCTTAAAATACTTTAGTCTAGCTGTGGGTATCTGCGTGTTCAATGCCGACTTTATGCCATATTTCTTTGTACACCGTTTTAGACGGTTATCGATCGATGTATAGACAAGCACAATCGTTTATTGCAAGATGTATAACCTCTGTCGTGAACGATAAACGAAAACCCGATAGAGAAAGAGAGAGAGAGAATAATCTGATGTATTATTATATATGTCTCTCTTTTTTTTACATACTTCGTTTCGTACATCTTCTTCGCTCCCTTCATTAATGTAACTAACAAAGTTTTTCGTGCCGTACAATCGCATCTACTAACGATTTCGCAGACAACAACCACTGAACTTACATCACCACCACCACCATCAACAACTCCAACAACCACCTCCATCACCACCACGACGACTACATCAACTACTACGTTATCATCACCATCAACAACAACATCAACCACCACTCAACAACCGTCACCGTCAACTACGGCCACTAGTACCACAACAAGCACAACAACGCCAACAACAATAGCAGATACAACAACGGCAAGCATCATACCGACAACCATTCCAGCAACGACTGAAATACCAGCAGAGAAGCCGGGGACCACGGAAGAAACGACGAAGAATACAAGATACACGGAGAACGAATCTCTAAACGTCTCATCCACTATACCAGAACTCACCACGATCCCTCCTTCGGTAATAGTTCCTCATTCTAGCACGACCACTACTACCACCAATGGAACCACACCTACCACCGTTATTATCGAAAGGACGGAAACGGATGTGACCGGTGGTACCATTAATGTCACCACGGAAGAGGTAAATGCTTCGTTGCTTCGAGCTTCTTCGTTTTGTACGATAATTTCATGCCTACCGCATAGAGTCGATTCACGTTAATCTGTCGCTTTAGTACGCCAAAACCAGTGATAGGTCAGAGGCCCACCTATAATGCCATCTTCCTACCCCCTCGCCGCACACCTTTCTTGTGAAACGTTGCGAGAGAATCGTGCCGAGTATCTTACTCGGTGTGTTAGTCACCGAAGCCCGCGTGTGGACGCTGGCTGGCTGGCGGGAAAGTTAAGCGCAGCTTAGCGGCGTAATTTAATACGGCGTCATGCACAGGCTTGGAACTTTGGAGTAGGGTTGTAATTCATACGAGCCGTAAAGCAAAGCGAGAAGGAGGAGGAGAGTACGGTGTGCATTGTGCGTGAGAAACCGGCCAAAACAAACGTTTCCTCCTCTCCATCTCTTGTGCTGCTGCTCCGTGAAATTTATATTCAACGAGATAATTTGCACGATTCTCTGACAACGGTTCCTCTTTCTGATCACGAGATTATCCTTCTTCTCATTGAGACACTACGGTTAAGAATGATTCGCGTTATTGAAACGTTATTCTTTTTCAACTTCAGCCAGTGGAACAGTCGTCGGTGTCCTCGACGAAACAATCCACTACACTCTTACCGATCACTGTACCTGCAAACGCCACGAATACGTCTACAATCACCACACTCGTCATGAATACCATCACACCACCCACAACGACCACACAAATGAGAATAATACCTACTACCACAACTACCACTACCACTACCACCACCATGGCTCCGACAACCATTAACGCAACCTCTACCACGACCACTACCACACCGACAACGATCAGCACTACCACTGAACTGCCCAGAGTTACCGTGGAGACCGGGATTTCCAACTTCCCGCCTAAACAAGACAGAAGACTGAAGAAGATACCTGTCACAGCTGGAAAACCGTTGAGCTACATCATACCTAGTAATACGTTCAGTGATTTCGAGGATGGAGATACCAGGAATCTGAGATTGAGTTTGTACCTGCAGGGTGCACCTTTGAAAACTTCCCATTGGCTTCAGTTTAATCAGAAGACTCAGGAAGTTTATGGACTGTAAGCGTCAGTCTTAGATGTTGATCGAAACAGTCTGTATAGGAATATATTTGGAGTTCAACATTGGTTATTTTGTTATACAGGCCATTGGAGAATGATATTTCTACCTGGAACTACGAATTGGTAGCTGCAGATAGCGAGGGACTGAATGTGACAGATAGATTGGATATTCATGTACAACAGCATAAGCTTAGTCGCAGTGTTAATCATGAATTCAGTATTTATTTGAGGCTCGATAAACGTACCGAGTTTCCTACGGACGTAGACTGGCAGCTAAAGGTACATTTTTGTTATGATGTTAGGTTAGGTTAGTATGTTTAACTTGTGCTATTTTATAGGTAATTCGAAGCTTATCCGAATTGTACGGAGATAGCGACACCAGGCATATCACTGTTCGAACGGTCGATATTGATCGCGATCAGGCGATTTTCACTTGGACCAATGATAGTTTACCTAGGAGCAGCGAGTGTCCCAAGGAATACATCAACGATTTGTTGCATGTAAATATTAATTGAACGTATTGTTATTATTTTAAATATATTTTAAACGGTCTAATTCACTTTTTGTGCTGACAGGTCTTGATGGATAGAAGTGGCGATCCTAGTTCTGCGCTGAGAGAAGTTCTCCAACCCGAAATGAGAGTAAAACGAGTGGTCTATCAGGGTATTGGACAGTGTGAGGACATGACTCATCCAGAGTTACCAAAAGTTTCTACACAGGAGCCTAAATCAAACTACCCGCCATTACCGAGGAACCAAGTGGACCTCGTGAATGCTAGTGTCGGCCAGTTACTTGTATTTAAAGTTCCAGAAGTACGTTGTATTATTAACAAGGAGGTGTATGATAAAAAAATACATATGATTATCAATGTATGTAATTATTTTAGGATACTTTCTACGATGTAGAAGATGGTTCCGCAAGAAACATGCAAATGTCTCTGCTGACCACCGAACGTAAGCCTATCCCACCACAGGAATGGCTGCAGTTTGACAGCAAGAACCAAGAATTTTATGGAGTGCCAATGCATAGAGACGTAGGACGTAAAGAGTACCAATTAGTTGTCACAGACAAAGAAGGTAACCTAACAATCTAAGCGTAACCTACCTTCCTAGCTAAGCGTCACAATTTTGTCTACACAATTCTTTTAAACTCGTCACAGGTGCAAGTGCTACAGATGGCCTAGTCGTTGTGGTTCACCCTGCTCCCTTCATGGTCAACACAGTGGAATTCTCCATGACCTTAGATATCCCTTACGAATCATTTGCTCACTCTGCCCTCCAGAAGCGTAACTTCATCGAAAAACTCCGTGATTTATATCAGGACAAAGACACGAACGCTATTTCGTTGTACAATATATCAAATGGTAGCACAGTGATCACGTGGCACAACAGAACCCTCCCTACCTTGTATTGCGCTAACGACGAAGTTGCCAGATTGCGATCTGTGCTCGTAAAGAGCGACAACGATCGCCGATCAGTTACGGATGAGGTCCTAGAGATTATGGGCCCGAAATTCCCCGTGAAACAGATCACAGTGATACCCATGGGTATCTGCGTTGGCGAATTAACAAACGTTCACTCGCCTGATAATCACGCTCCACCGGTGGACGATTCCACTGCGGTTGGGGCGTTCCACGATGACTATCTCCTCACGTTCGTCCTGCCGGCAGTAATTGTCATCGTGATGATCATCCTGACGGGTATCGTTGCCTGCGTATTGCACAGACGAAAACGCAGCGGCAAGATGAGCGTCAGCGATCAGGACGACGAGAGACAGAGTTTCCGTAGCAAGGGAATACCGGTCATATTCCAGGACGAGCTAGACGAGAAGCCTGATCCAGGTAATTTTATGCACCCTCTGTAGTATTAAATCAGATATAGCTAATCCTGTTTGGTGATAGAGAGGATGTGTTAATTCTGTAACTGAAATTTAAATAACAGAGCACCGATGTAATCTTGATCCATTAAATCGATGGTAGCTCTGTCATTTTCAATCGCTACGAACAATGTTTCATATTGTTTCAGGCAATAAGTCTCCGGTTATTCTGAAGGAAGAAAAACCACCACTACCACCTCCGGAGTATCAAAAAGCTGAAGATGGCGCGGACGTACCAATGCTGCCAAAGGAAAACTCCGAAGAGCCGTACCAACCACCGCCTCCGTTCGCAACGAATCGCGATACCAATCGTCAGAACCGCCCTAAACCCACTCCAACGTACAGGAAACCGCCCCCATACGTACCCCCCTAACAAAATACGGTCCATTCACCGACGCGCAAATATATGCTAGCGATGCTCGGAGACTCCCCAACACACGCGCAAAACCAAACGAACAACCATCAGAAGAAACCTCAGTTTGCCGTTAAAGTCGACAACTGTGGACCTCTGAACGTATACAACAATCTTAAGTAAAAAAAAGGAAAAAAAGAGAAAAAAGAACAAAAAACAAAAAAAAAATACACAAGGCTTTCGTTCGTCCCAGTATTCGATCAACAGATATCGGTATCACGTAACGAGAGAAGACGAAAGATCGTTTCGCGAGAACTCACGCCAAAAGTCGCGCCCACTTCTACTTACTTTGTAATATTATATGATATGTATACTCATTCGTCGCTATTTATCCGCGGTGTATTAACGTATTTAAGGGAAGAGAAATACGAGGGGAACAAGAGTGGAATGTGAAAACTCTCGCCCCTCGGGTTTCTTTTTGTTTCTTACTTTTATTATTATTATTTTATTTTTCTTCTTTTTTCTTCTTTTTTTTTTTTTTTTTTTTTTTTTTTTTTTTTTTTTTTTTTTTTTTTTTTTTTTTTTTTTTTTTTACAGTTTTCTAGGGAGTGTATGGGATTACAAATCACGCGTTGCCTTTCGTAACGAATTCAAACTGTAGAAAGAAAGAGAGTGAGGGGAGAGAGAGGGAGAAAAGAGAGGAGAGGATAGAGGAGAATGATTCACTTACTCCGGCGGGGTATAAGCGGATATTTTAGGTTTTAGGTTTACGAGACTCTATAGAACCAGCCAGTCGTTTTAGGGGCGAGATTGTATTTTATTCGATGATGAGACGATGATGTGTATATGCAGCAACGATACTCGTTAATATTTCAGTAATATCAGTGCCATTTTTTAAGCAATAAGGGTATCCTGCTGTGAACGATGAAGAAGAGAGAAAAAGGAACACGTACTATAATGGTTCTACGACTTAACATGGTTTACTGTTATACAAAAAAGAAAAAAAAAAGAAATGGTCTCCAAGTATCAAGGACTATCGACTTAACGAATCTTACAACGTACCTACAACGCGTAACGCTGCCAGATGAAAAAAAAAAGAATAAATAAATAAAAAATAACGACCGATCGTCGAACGAGACGGTTTTTTTCATCGCCAGTTATATTTCAAGCCTCTTTTCTTTTTTATACTGTCCACGTGAGTCGTGCAAGAGGATGAAATAATATCAAAATAAGCGCGAGAAAAAAAAACGAAGGGAATTTCAAGTGTTCGGCGATTTTTATCGAACTGATTCATCCGACGACCGGTCTACTCTGAATTAAAAACGATTATTAACGTTAGGGAGAAGTGTGGAATTTAAAAAAAAAAATAAAACGTAACTTAATCAAATGTATCTGTTCGCGCGATATGCCATTGCAGAGTGACAGCAAAATGCTTCCATTTGGCGCTGTAGGCCATGCAGAATAAAAAAAAAGGAAAAAACTAAT